ACTTCCCACGTTGACACGTTGACCATAATATGTATTGTGTATGAAGTAAATATGGTGAGACAAAGTTAGTGTAAATATGTTGCAAAGTTATTGAAATAGGGTTAGTTGCAAAATTAGTTCTATCTTGTTGCAGGGTTAGTTATTTTTATTTGAAATGTTTAGTTGTATTCAGTTTGCAAGGTAAGTTGTCTGTAGTTGCAAGGTTAATTGTCTTTAGTTGCAAGGTTAGTTGTCTTTGATTGCAAGGTTAGTTATATGTAGTTGCAAGGTTAGTTCTGTCTAGTTGCAATGGTAGTTTTCTCTAGTTGCAAGGTTAGTTGTCTGTAGTTGCAAAGTTAGTTCTATCTTGTTGCAAGGTTAGTTATTTTTATTTGCAATACTTAGTTGTATTCAGTTTGCAAGGTTAGTTGTCTTTAGTTGCAAGGTTAGTTTTCTTTAGTTGCATGGTTAGTTGTCTTTAGTTGCAAGGTTAGTTGTCTTTGGTTGCAAGGTTAGTTATCTGTAGTTGCAAGGTTAGTTCTGTCTAGTTGCAATGTTAGTTTCTCTAGTTGCAAGGTTAGTTGTCTGTAGTTGCAAGGTTAGTTGTCTGTAGTTGCAAAGTTAGTTCTGTCCAGTTGCAATGTTAGTTTTCTCTAGTTGCAAGGTTAGTTCTCTGTAGTTGCAAGTTGTCCTCATTTTAAGAGCTGTCCTCATTTTAAGAGTTGTCCTCATTTGATCCGCCCCCTATATATATATATATATATATATATATATATATATATATATATATATATATATATAGGGGGGGCGGATCAAATGAGGACAACTCTTAAAATGAGGACAGCTCTTAAAATGAGGACAACTTGCAACTACAGAGAACTAACCTTGCAACTAGAGAAAACTAACATTGCAACTGGACAGAACTAACTTTGCAACTACAGACAACTAACCTTGCAACTACAGACAACTAACCTTGCAACTAGAGAAACTAACATTGCAACTAGACAGAACTAACCTTGCAACTACAGATAACTAACCTTGCAACCAAAGACAACTAACCTTGCAACTAA